TGCGATTTCAACAGCACATTCCCTGAGGACTCTAGGGGACATGTTATCAGGTCCAACGGCTTTGGATGTATCTAATGATTGGAGAATTTTGAGCACATCCGATTCATCAATTTGTATGTTGCCTAAAGAAATATCCTTCCATATTGGAATATCCGGAAGCTCACAATGACAATTAATATTTGAGAAATTTGAGAAGAAGTATTTATTAAATAGTTTCGCTTTACCTTTAACCTCATTTGCTGATAAATCATTGCTAAATAAAACTTTCGGTAGGCACTTAGACTTTGTTTTGGCTCGAAAAAACGACCAAAATCTCTTTGGATTTTCGCCAATGGATGAGCTAAGACCATCGATGTATTTAGTATATTTAGCTGAAATGAGATTTTAAGACGATTACGAAGCTTACGAAATACTCCCCATTTATGGGGTAGATTACTTTTTTGGCCCTTTTCCACGCTGTAAATTTTTTCTTTTGGAGATGCCTAACATCAGCATCGATCCAGGCAGGGGCTGATACTATGTACACGTTTAAATTATTGTTATTTATTTGTTATGTCATTATACAGTATTTATATTTAAACTTAATGTATTGTTTAGGTATGAATTACTATATCCATGTAAAATTAATCTTATCAATTAAAATTGTATATTTTAAATAATATAGTAGGCATTTATTCAAAGAGTGGCTTTTACAGTATTCGAATAATATACTGCCGTGATTTGGAAAAAGGCATTAACTCCAAAATCTTAGTTTTGAGTTATTGAGCAAAACGCGTTTGTCGTTAGCCATTTGTACTGGAAATGAATTCTAGTAATTTTTTTTGGCAAATATACTAAACATATAATTTTAAAAACATATTAAATAATTTTCATGGTGATTTTTGTTCTTTAACCGTATTTAAATGGAGATAATGCACTATTCCAAATTTTAACAGGAGTCAATGGTGCGTGAAAAATCTGAAGTTAGGCATTAACTCCAGTTTTTCCAGTGAAATGTGTATCTTACGTAGCCAAATTACAGCATTTCTGACAAACAGATAATTTATGCCAGTGTCAATTATATATTTCACGAAATTTAGTCCATGTAAGTTAAAATTAATATTATAGTATAAATTTATAATCAATTTAGGGGTCGTCATTGTATTTTACACGTATAAAAATAGATAAAATTATTATTATTGTTCAAATTAAGCTGCTATCATTTTTATATTCAATCAGAATAAAATGATATTGATATATGATGATTATATTATGAAGAATAACATTAATATACTTAGTAGAACCTCTAATTTACATATACTAAATTTTCAGACTTCTATTTTACAAACGCGAAGTTACATATTTCGAATCTTCATATATTTACGAATCATGTAAAAAGTGCCCAAATACAAAAATTATACTTTTTTGAGCTATTATTCGAAATTAAAGACAATATTCGGTGAGGTAAATGAGAGGTTCTAGAAAATGGTGTGGTAGATAAATAGAATCTAAATGAATCAAAGTTAGACGAGTTTTAGGTTTTCTCTTTTATTTGTCAACATCATTTTACCAGCATTGAAGATAATGAAATATTCTTTTCTTATTTTTTTTTTGTGATTTTATTACTTTAACAGCATTGAAGATAATGAAATATTCTTTTCTTTATTTTTATTGTGATTTTATAACTTTTATCAGCGTTCAATATAATGGTATTTTCTTATTTCAGGTATATTTATTCAATCAGACATTGACAATCAATCAAACAAAATAAATTCATTACAAAATTACTTAAAAAGAATTACATTCAAATATACAAATCTATATATAAAATTATTCATTATAAAAATTACTCATTACAAAATCATTTAAAAATTACAATTCTATAAACAACACTATTCATTATAAAATTATTCATTCATTAACAAAGAACATTCGACAACAGTAACCTTTGGCAATAGAGATTGAATTGGAGGCTACTGGGTTAAAATAACATTACTGTACACAGGAACAACAACAAAAATGCCAATAAAATTTAACGAAAAAAACTATTATAAATTTAATATCACCATTTAGTGAACTCCGTCAACAAGAAAAATAAAGAGGCTGGCTGACCGCCAAGAACACTAGATGTTATTTAGAAGAGTCGTCATGTAATGGAAAGGGCTGTTACGAAACCTTACAGTTTTAACATTATAATCCTTATATCGTTTTGTATTACGGAGGCACATGCCATGGGATTTATTATTTAACCTAAACCAGTGACTGAACCTATCAGAATTAACAGCCTTCTTGGCAAAATTGATACATAGTGTGGTTCGGCGATCAGTCAGTCTCTCCAGTCCCAATATGTGAAGAGCTTCCGTATAATTAATTAATGCTTTAAAAAGAATGCACCTACAGACCCGTTCTTGTATGCGTTCAATTTGTGTTGACTGAGCACCAGTAAGCACTGGGTGCCAGAGGGGGGCAGCATATTCTAGCACCGGTCTAATGTAACATTTATATATGAATACTAATTCCCCCTTCTCTGGGGAGGCCAGCACGTTTTAAGGACCACAATAAGTACATTTTTTTGTTTGCTTTCTTACATAAAGCTAGGGTATTTGAGTTCCACTTCAAATCATCATCAAGCAGAACCCTCAGGAGCTTAACTGTCTGAAGTACAGGCAAGGATTGACCAGAGATATGGAGATCGATGTCTGGAAGAGGTTGACGACCAAAAAAAAACTCGCATAACCTGACACCTAGTCGGATTTAATTTAAGTTGATTCTGTATTTTATTGCGATTATTGGCCAGATTTTTTACTCAATTATCTATCAAACCAGCGATATCGCCAACAGGCATGTTCGTCCAAAAGGCTTTTCTATTGCCGCTCATTAGTGGTAGAAGATTTTTAATATGCCATTTTTTTTAAACCGAAGTAAAGCTAGGCATTATGTGCATTTACAAGCTATCTTAACTAACTAACTATGCGTAATTATCTTCTGTGATTGGTTCATTATGATCTGTTCATTGTTTGGTGGGGATAATGCCTTCTTCCAAATTATTCTGCATTCATGGATTGGAGTTAATGCGTAAATATAATATTTATTTCATATTTCTGGACATTTTTGGGGGTATATGATGAATTCACATGATAGATTACATCAATAGGATGCCATAGAAACAAAAATCCAAAAATCTCAAAAAGTGGAGTTAATGCCTTTTTCCAAATTACGGCAGTATAGTATAGGCACTTTTTCGTAACTATAGC